GAATAACGCCCCTGATTCCAAGTAGAAATCTGAGCAATGCTATAAGTATCAGGAAGAGCTCGACAAGCTCTTGCCACCAGACAGCGAGCCACCAGCCGTGGGGGCCTAAAAAAAGCTACAACCTAGCTTGCCTGAAAAAAAAAACTAAACAAATGGGGTAAGAAATAGTCGCCTTGCTGGAATAAAGTGATCAGAAAATCACGCAAGAGGTGCAGGCCACTGCGTGTGGTAGTGAGGGACATTGGGAGACCTACAAGCAAACCCTATGGTAGTAAAAGGAGCTTCTAAGATGATCTAATAGAACACATAGAAAGACTTCTGCAACGGGGTGAAATATAACTCAGACGGAGTCAGGCTCAGAAAGATAGACTTTCAAGTGTCTCTCAGAGAGCAGCAGAATTCTAGCAAAGACCTGATGGCTCCTGGACTGAAACCGGGAGGAATATCTGGATATGCTTCTAAGTACACATTTCCCGGGAGCAACGGACATTAGGCCGAAGCAGACACATAAAATTGAAAATCATCCAGTGACTGGAAATTTCTTCTGCTCTATAGGGACGTTCAAGCTTTATATCGAGGGAATCGCGAGTGGTGTTCATTCCTAAAGCAGGGCAGGTGTTCCACACTAAACCAAAAGATTTCACAGACCCCAACACTTTTGTAATATGGTTCAAAGCAAATGTCTCAAACACGCTGAGTGGTGCAAAACAAGCTACTTTTCGACTATCTGCGAATCAGACAAAAAATGGGAATCAAAATTCGAAAAACATGATTTCTCTAGATTTTTTTACGGGCTATCCGATGGTGCTATGCGTTTTCGAAAAAATTTCTCATTTTTATGGTAAAATCGAAATGAAAATGTATTTGTAATTTTTCTCAATTATGGTCATTTTTAATTTTTTTTAGTCATCTCAATCGAAAGATCCGGTCTTTTTACGTAGAAATCATCAAGAGATTTTTTTTTGATTTTTCCGATTTTGTAGAGGCTTCAAGCATTTAACTTGTCAACCACTAGCAATAACTTTGGAAGACATCGGCATCACCACTTCTCACGACAGCTGAAAAAATCACAACCATTATGTCAACGAAACAGCAACAAAGAAATCAAATATATTTGTACGCATACATGCATATACGTATGTGTATGTATGTATGCACGTTACGGAGGTCCAAAAATGCATGTGAAAAAATTAATTTGAAATTAAATGCCGCCACCCACCAAGAGTGTTCTATACCGAAAAAATATGCCCTTATTTTTTTATTTTGAAATCAAAAAAAAATTAGGGAGTGCTCAAAGCGCTCAAAGTTTTCCCTGTATTTTATATGGAGAAAAAAAAACACTTTTTTGTAGAAATTGTGTATAATTCTTGAAAATCAATATTTTTTAATCAGAAACCCATATTTATCTTTAGGAGATTCCCAATAATAATACCTTTTCGTTTCTTTAAACCTTTTTTTCTTGGTAACTATATTTTATAGGTCCGCCAAAACCTCCAGAAAGTGCAATGGGGTGACCAATAAAAAATCTTTAGTATTAAAAAATGGTTAAATAAACAATTGGATATTAATATTGAAGACTGAACCACTGTTTTCGGATCAAAAAATATTAACTTTGAAGTATTGTATACCATTTCTACGAAAAGTTGTTTTTTCCCCAAATAAAACAAATTGCAAACTTTGAGCACTTCCTAAATATTTTTTCATTTCAAAATAAAAAATTCGGGTGAATTTTTTTCAGTTTAGAATAATCTTATTGGGTGGCGGCTTTAAAATTCCGACTACATATCGCTGGCTAAGAGTTAAAAGTTAAAAGAGTATCGTTTTCTAAACGATCGAGCTAACAATTTTATTTCTAACCATTTGTTTTAAGTGATACGCAAATTTGCTAAGTCACAAAAAATACGATAAGTCGCAAATAATAAAAAAAATAGTTTACAAGAAATCTATATCTACGGTGACGAATTTACAAAAGAGATGCATGGCGGGCTTGTTTACTTTAAATAGACATTCATTCCAACAAATTAGATTTCAAATAGAAAACACATTTATTTGAAAATTATTTAAAATCGCTATTATGGTAAAACCAAAAATACTGTGTGAAAAAATCATGTTACTTTTTTTTGGCTGTCAATTGTAGAACTCATTAGTCATTCGTTCCCTTCAGCGCTTTATGATGTCCATGTCAGTGCCACAAACATAAAAGTAAATTGTTGCTGTTTTTCTACTCTTTCTCCCTCTATTTCCAATATAAATATCGGCTTTCTCATTTTTATTTATTTTAACTATGCGTTGATTTAAAGATTTGCCTTTGTTGATGACATTCACTTTATATTCTACCAAAAGCATGCCATTCATGGTGTTGACATAATGTATGTATACTTCATTCATTTTCATATCCTTCGGGCCACTTGCACAATACATACATAAATAGTACAAGTGTCAATACAGGTGAAACTTATAAATAAAAATTACTTGCATGGAAAACCTGAAAGCACTTACAATGAGGAAGGAGAAGAACTGAAGTGATACCGGGATTTGTGTTGCCTTAAACTGAAGGCCGTGATATCACACCTCTGATTTTTTTGTTTGAGGTTATGTGAAGTCAAACGTCTTCGTCGATAAGCCACCTATGATTCAAAACTTAGAAGCCAACATTACTCGCGTAATTGGCGCATTGCGGGAAAGAGTAATTGAAAATTTGAACTTCTGAATGGCCCAACTACAGCGTAGTCGCGGCCAACATTTGAATGAAATTATTTTTAAAAAGTAAATGTCTTATATTGTTCTTTCAGGTAATAATAAAACTTTAGGCATCCGGGAATATGAATGTTTTTGTGTCAAAAGGTGGGATAGAGATTCGATAATTGTTGCAAACTGGTTGCAGAATCTCCCCCCCCCCCCCCCCCCCCAATTCAGTTTTAAGTGTTTTGTTTCAAATCAAAAAACAAAGGTCTAGATCGGTGATTCCCAAAGTGGTCCGGCTCCCAGAGGTACACAGGAGACTCGAGGGGGGTCTACGTTGGCGTGAAAAAATATGGGTGTTCACGAGTTGTAATTGGTGGTCCACGAATATGTATTTGGTTTCGATAGTAAAGGATAAAAACGGTTGCTTGGCTTTACCTTCTTCACTCAGAAAAAACATTCCTTGATGCTATGAAAAAAGTGTATTATTCTAAGCAAATATTACCTTGGAATTGTTCCAATGACATGGCTGCCTTAATGTGAGTAAACGATTTGACTCAGTTTAAGAAAAACACAATTCCTTAGTTTTAGGGAAAAATGTACTTGTCGTTTCATCCCCCGTGAAAGTTATAAGTATGTATGTCAATTTGGTTCGCGGCGCTCAAACAGTGGCAATGGCCGACAGAGCAAAGCTCTGGAGTGCTAGTCGAAAGATGCAAGGTTCGAGTCCCAGAGAAGGATTTTTTTTTTAATTGTAATTTCTTAAATTGTATTTAAAAATATATATATATCCAAATTATTTTTTATGATATTTGAGTTTTAAGGGTTTTCCATATGTGAAATTAATTTTACAATTTTTAATTTATATTTAAATTGAAATAATTGACTTACCTTACTCTAACCACATCCAACCGGACTCGAACCTGCGATCTCACAACCAGAAGCAGTAGTCTTCACCACGGCGGCGCCACAGCCGACATTTGCTAGGAGAGCAATTAACTTTGTCTTAACAGCACAATTCAAAATTATTTAAGGAAATTGTTACTTATATTGAGGAAATTATTACTTAAATTTGAGTAAATTTACGTACTCAAATTAATAACGCCCTATTTTTAAAATGAACCTGAATTAAAGAAAAACTTCTCAAATTGACTAAGTTTTTCTTAATATTAAGGGAAAAATAGTAACTCTAAAATAAGGATACTATTTTTTGGTTTCTGAGTGTATGCAGCGAGATAATACACTACTCAAAAAAATTAAGGTGGCAAAAAAAATCCAAATTTTTCGATGATTTTTGACAGGGAGTATTTAGGTGAAAAAGGGTCGTATTGAGACTTAAAAAAAAATAAAGAATTTTGAAGCTTTAAGGTTCTAATTTTCAGATTTCTTTTTTAAAAAATTCTGGTTGCCACGGTTCGCATGTAATCCCGACATATAGCACGAAAAAAATTATTTTGCAACTTTGTGTTTTTTTTTTGTTCACGGCCTGGAAAAAAGCGTTTCAGTTAGACCGGTATATGGATCAGATGGTCTCCTTATGTAGCTTTATTCTTCTATATTTTAAAATCTCTAAATGCAATTATTTTAATATTCTTTCAAGAGTGGTACGAAGTATTTTATAGAAACAAAAAGACTAAAATTTAAAGAAATTTACCACTTGAAAAAATTCAATTCGATTTGCTAATTCTTATTTCCTTTTTCTCCGTTTTTTTTTCTCTTTTCATTGCTTTCCAATCATCGCTGGCTTGGACCAACGTTTTGCCTTTGTATGCTGCCATGGTGCCTTACTTTTGTGGCTGCTTCTATGTACCGATGTCTAACAACTGGAACTGATGAAATGAATCAACTTTGTCGCCATCGTCACCGCCTCATTGCTTTGCCGCCTTTGATGATGCTGCAATTTTCCGTTTTGTTGCCTACGCAATCTGCCTGTTCTTTATGGCCATCACCGTCCATCGCCCAACCTATGTTGTATGTGTGTTTGCGTGGTTGCTACCAACGGTATTGACAACTACATTACCCTATTGATGCTGGTCGAATACACGCACACCACACCCGCATCATCACACACAATTTCAATTGCCGTCAATATATCTCCGTTTCCAATTTCTCTGCGAAATGCTTTGCACTTCCGCTGTCTGCTTGCGTGTGCATCGGTCTCTGCTGGCTGTCAACACAAATTTTCCTACGCCGACGCCATTGCCATGCAACCAACATCGACGACATTCATCGTTACCATCACGAAACATCGCCATCGCCATCGCCATCGCCATCCACTCCCACACTCGATTGTTCTTGGGGCTGCCTCCACTGAACAGCTTATAGAAAATGTCAGTCGAGCGATGTATTCTGCAATGCGCCTGGTGGTTTGGCACCCTCGGACGGCAGTCGCTTGTCCGGTCCGTGCGTGCCGAAGGAGAAACGTTGCGATGGTTATCTGGACTGTCGCAATGGACGCGACGAGGAGGGCTGCACCGGCATCTCATGTCGTTTGGATCAGTTTCGTTGTGCCAATGGGCAGAAGTGTATCGACGCTTCGCTCAAGTGTAATCACAAAGACGATTGCGGTGACAAATCTGATGAACAGGGCTGCAGTAAGTATTCAATCGTGAAATCAACATCAACATCACCACCATTGTTGACATTCCCAGCACAGTTTACACTTCAAATCATGCAGTGTGCCCTAAAGTGGGGCATGAACGAGTGTATACATATGTACATATGTGAAGCATATGGAGCGTTTCAAGCGTTTACTCAACGGGCTAGTAGATAAGTGAGTAGGGAGAAACAAAAGAGGTGGCCGCTCATTGAATTTTATCTCAGTCTGCCAACTGCCAACAGTCACTTCAAGAAAACGATGCCAAACATGCTTAGGTTCTTGTTGGCGCCGAATGGACATCACTCACTCAAAATGTGCAACTGCCGATGGCATCCATTCATTTTGCATCGCATGAGTGCGGATTGACTAACGTTTAAAATCGATGCTTTGTGCTGTAAAAAGTTGATCCTACATATCCGTTACGTTTGAAGCGTTCCATATGTTTAAGCCTCGAACAGCTCGTCGCCTACACGTTGCGTTTTAGCAACTACATATCATCAATTTTTGGTTTACTTTGCTTATCTACAACAGAGTTCGATGCATCTACCCCAAAAAACTTTCACACACTGTCTCCTCTCTCACACACCACTCCCCAGCTACAAGCAATCCAACACTGTCTGTACCATCCTTCCCCGCAACCACTTTTCTTACTATTTTCCATGCACATCTTTCCCTTTCAATTCATCTACTCCTTCTGAGATGCATTCAATCAAAAAATTCAACTCGTTCAACTCTTTCGCATTCAAGCATTATCATCATTCTTTTGCATTCATCCTCGATTTGCAATTCTCTTACAGATTTTCCACCCTGCCATCATGGCCAATTTCGTTGCACGAATGCCTTGTGCATTCCATCCAACTTCTATTGTGATGGATATCACGATTGTGCGGATGAAAGTGATGAGGCCAATTGCACGGCAATCGCATGTCCTGATAACAAGTTCCTTTGTCCGCGCGGCGGCCCGAATGGCACACCCAAGTGCATACTGAAATCTCAACTTTGCGACGGTAAACGTGATTGTGAGGATGGCAGCGACGAGGAGACCGCCTGTTGTAAGTGTGCCCAAATTGCTCTTAGCACGCCTACTTCACACATTTTGTCGTTGTTTCTTAGTTTTAATTTTTTTCTTCTCTCACAGCTACCGGCTCTTGTCCTGCGCTCAGCTGTGAATATCGCTGTGGCCCATCGCTTACTGGTGGCGCTTGCTATTGCCCGAGTGGGCAGGCCATTGCTGCTGACAACCGCACCTGCATGGATCTGGATGAGTGCGCCGAATGGGGTCACTGCGATCAGCTGTGCACCAACACCGATGGTTCGTATACTTGCCAGTGCGCGCAGGGCTACAGTCTAATCAACAATTCGAAATGTATTGCGCCTGATGCCAACAACCTGCAGCTAATATTTGCGCATGATCGCGCTGTTGTGCGCATGTCTGCACATGGCAGCGATCCACGTGTGCTGGCTAATGCCACTGCTGCTTCAGGTGTGGCTTACCACTATCAACGTAACACACTGTATTGGTCCGATATTAAGACTCGCAAGGTGCAATCTATACCATTGGATGTATTTAACGGTGCTATCTCGCCCTTGGATCTTACGCTGCCCGGTACTTGGGCACCCGTCGCGCTGGCCGTCGATTGGGTGGGCGACAAGATCTATGTGGCAGACTTGATTGGACAGAAAATTGACGTTTTCGAATTGAGCGGCCATTGGCATGCGGTAGTGTTGGGCTCAAACCTCACCAGTCCCGCTGATTTGGCGCTAGATCCCACATCGGGTCTGATGTTTGTCGCCGACGGTGGTCAGGTGCTGCGCGCGCATATGGATGGTACGCATGCGCGTTCAATTGTCTCCGAAGCGGCGTATAAAGCATCTGGCGTCACGGTAGATATCATCGCGAAACGCGTTTACTGGTGCGACTCGTTGCTGGACTATATTGAGACTGTCAACTATGAGGGTAATCACCGCATAATGGTGTTGCGTGGCCAACAAGTGCCAAGCCCGTCACGACTGGCTCTGTTTGAAAATCGTATCTTCTGGACAGACGCCACAAAGCAAGGTATCATGTCGGTGGACAAGTACGCCGGTCCTACTTCGATACAAGTAACCTACAAGGCGAAGGATATACGCGAACCGAAAGGCATTGTCGCTGTACATGCGCTGAGTCAACCGCGCGTTTCAAATCCATGCGGCAACAATAATGGTGGATGCAACCACATGTGCATCGTGACGGCCGTCAAGGGTGCGCCCACTGGCTTGGGTTACCGTTGTGCCTGTCATACAGGCTATCAGCTGCAGACAGATTTGAAGAACTGTAAAATTGTGCGTGAGTTTCTTATGTACTCACAGCAACGCTTTATAAAAGGAAAAGTACTTGAACCAGTTATTGAGGGCTTCAGCGATGCCATACTGCCTGTGGTCTCGAGACGTGCGCGCTTTGTTGGTCTTGATTTTGATTCGCGCGATGAGTTTATCTACTACTCGGATGTGCTGCAGGATGTGATCTATCGCGTGCACCGCAATGGCACGGGACGCGAGATTGTGCTTGCCTCACAGAACGAAGGTGTCGAAGGGCTGGCTGTTGACTGGGCGGCGAAGAATTTGTACTACATTGATTCACGTAAAGGCACGTTGAATGTGCTATCCACGCGAAATGTCACTTATCGGCGTACACTCTTGAAGGATCTTAAGCGTCCGCGCGCCATTGTTGTGCATCCCAATCGCGGCTATATCTTCTTCTCAGAGTGGGACCGTCCTGCGAACATAACGCGCGCGAACACAGATGGCACAAACTTGCTTGTCTTCAAGAACGTAACACTCGGCTGGCCCAATGGTCTGTCAATCGATTTCAAGGAAGATCGCGTTTACTGGTGTGATGCGCTATTAGATCACGTGCAGCACTCTAATCTCGATGGTACTGACATCAAAACGGTCAACTCGCGTTTGGTACGTCATCCATTTTCTATTGTGATACACAACGAATGGATGTATATCACTGACTGGCGGTTGGATGCCATTATACGTCTGCACAAGCTCACCGGCGAACAAGAGGAAATGATGGTACGTGAACCGCAAACGAACCGGCTTTATGGCGTAAAAGTATACAGTCACGAGGTGCAAACCATCGCCGACATTCACCCCTGTCATTTAAACAATGGCGGTTGTGAGAAGATTTGTTTCGCTATACCTAGAAATGATTCAGTAGAGCCAACACTGCAAACACGCTGCTCTTGCCCCTATGGCGAGCGGCTAGCTGAGGACCAACGTTCATGTATGGCTGATCCCAATGCTGAGCCACCAGTGCAGCCATGTCCGAACTCGTGGGACTTCACCTGCAATAACCAGCGGTGCATACCAAAATCGTGGGTATGCGATGGCGATGACGACTGCCTGGACAACAGTGATGAGGAGCAGAATTGCACAAGTAAGTATCAGATATACATACTTGAAAATCCCAAAAAAAAAAATATAAAGTAGCTTCAATGGTAATTTTTTTACACTTTATCTTTGTAACAGAACCAACTTGCGGCTCCAACGAATTTCAATGCAAGTCCGGCCGTTGTATACCACTCAACTTCCGCTGCGATCAGGAGAATGACTGCGGTGACAACTCAGACGAATTCGAGTGCGGCAATGTCACTTGCGGCACTGCTCAATTTGCCTGCGACAATGGCCGCTGCATACCGAATATGTGGAAGTGTGACAGCGAAAACGATTGCGGCGATGGCTCTGATGAGGGCGATTTCTGTGCAGAGAAGACATGCGCCTACTTCCAGTTTACCTGCCCGCGCACTGGCCACTGCATACCACAGAGCTGGGTTTGCGATGGCGATGACGATTGCTTCGACAAACAGGATGAGAAAGACTGTCCGCCGATTACATGTTTGGCGAACCAATTCAAGTGCGCCGATCTGCGGCAATGTGTCGAGGAGTCCTATAAATGTGATGGTATACCAGACTGTAATGATGGCAGTGACGAACTGGACTGTCCATCCATGGGACCGAATCAATGCAATTTGGAAAAGCACTTCCGCTGTAAGTCTTCTGGTTTCTGCATACCCATTGCTTGGCATTGCGATGGCTCCAACGACTGTTCCGATCAGTCTGACGAAGAGGATTGTGGCCAGATCACCTGCGCGCAGAACTTCTTTAAATGTAACAACTCCAACTGTGTTTTCAAGGCATACATTTGCGATGGCAAAGATGATTGCGGTGATGGTTCTGATGAAAGTTCGCTGCATGCGTGCGTGCCACCAGCATTTAAGTGCCCTTACGGTCAATGGAAGTGTCCGGGTGTTAGTGAACGCTGTGTGAATATGACTTCGGTATGTGATGGTACGCCGGATTGTCCGAATGGCGCCGATGAGGGCGAAGGCTGCGATTTAGCAGAGTGTACACACCAGGGTGGACTTTGTTCGAACGGCTGTCAAAAGACCCCCTTGGGCGCCACCTGCGTTTGCCCACCAGGATCGGACATTGGCGAAGATGGCTACACGTGCATCGACATGAACGAATGCGATCCACCTGGACTCTGTTCGCAGCAATGTACCAACACAAAGGGTTCCTACTTCTGCTCATGCACGGATGGCTATCTACTAGAACCGAACAAGCACTTCTGCAAGGCAGTTAATCACTCTGCAGCTTTCCTAATTATTTCCAACCGCCATTCCATACTCGTTGCTGATTTAAAAGAACAAGGCTTGGAACGCGTCCCAATAATTGTAGAAAATGTGGTGGCGACAGCTTCAAATATGCACACAGGTACGATTTTCTGGAGCGACATGAAACTGAAGAAGATTTCACGTTTGGATCGTGGTCAGGAACCACAAGAAATAATAAATACCGGTTTGGATTTGGTTGAAGGTCTGGCCTACGATTGGGTTGCAAAGAACCTCTATTGGTTGGACAGCAAATTGAATACGATTGAAGTATCCGCTGAGAATGGCTCAAATCGCCTTGTGCTGGTGCGTGAGAATATCACACAACCACGTGGCATGTGCCTCGACCCTAGCCCCGACGCTCGCTTCATCTTCTGGACCGATTGGGGTGAGAATCCACGCATCGAACGCATCGGCATGGATGGTACAATGCGCGAAACGATCATCAACACGAAAATTTACTGGCCCAACGGTCTCACATTGGACATTGCTACAAAGCGTGTCTACTTCGCTGACTCCAAACTGGACTTCATTGATTTCTGCTATTACAACGGCACTGGACGCCAACAAGTTTTATCCAACAGTCACTACCTACTGCACCCGCATTCGCTTTCACTCTTCGAGGACACACTTTACTGGACAGATCGTCAGCTGAACCGTGTGCTGTCGGCTAACAAATTCCGTGGAAAGAATCAGACAGTGGTTTCGCATCTGATCAGTCAGCCGCTCTCCATACACGTACACCATCCCTCATTGCAACCATCGTACCCAAATCCGTGCGAGAAATCAAACTGTCATCATCTTTGTTTGCTGAGTCCCAGTGCCAAAGAGAACTATTCATGCAAATGTAGACCGGGTTACCGTCTTATGAGCGAAGGTCGTTGTGTGGAAGAGGAGAACCCCTTCTTGGTTGTGGTGAAGGGCACGCAGATTGTCGATATACCATTGAACGGTGGGGACGCACGCGCTGGTTCGCTTGCGCCAGTTATTGGTATTGAGAGTAGCACTGGTTTGGACTTTGATCGCAAAGGTGAAACCCTTTACTGGGTACAAGGACGTGAGGATGATGATGAGAACTGTACGATATACTCAACGCCATACGGCGGAGGTAACAAAACGCTTTTCCTCGGCGCTGACACGGGCGTTGTTGGATCTCCGTACACCATCGCCTTTGACTGGTTGGGCCGTAATCTCTACATGGGCAACCGCATTGCCAGCAATATTGAAGCGGTTCGTGTGGATGGTAAAATCAAGTATCGTACCATCATACTCGCAAACGATGGTAATCAAACGTCAGTTTCGAAGCCAAAGCAAATCGTACTGGATCCCAACGACGGCAAACTATTTTGGATCGATGAAGGTGGTTTTGGTGTGCCTGTGAAGATTGGACGCGTGAATATGAATGGCAACAAGCCGATGGTACTGAAATCGGAAATCGATCATCCCGTGAGTATTGCATTGGACATCGAGAAGAAATTGGTGTACTATAGCACGCAATATCCGGCAAGCATTTGTGTTATGGACTACCATGGCGAGGATCACCGTATGCTGCTCTCGGAAGAGAACGCCATTTCGCGACCCAGAAGCTTGGGCATCCTAGATTCCAGATTATACTACCTTGATCCAGTCTATGAGAAGATTGTACGCATCGATTTGCCACGCGGCGATAATCCAAAGGTTATAATCGACAATGAACCCGATCTTAAGAGTATGATAATCTTCAAGAAGCGCCCTATGATGCAGCATCCATGTCAAATGAACAACGGCGGTTGCGAGCATCTCTGCATACCCGATGATGTTTCCTCACGCACCTGCGCCTGTGGTGTCGGCTACCGCAAGGAGAACGATATCAACTGTGTGGCCTATAAGACATTCGCTGTTGTTTCACAGTTGGACGTGACGCGCGGCTACAGCTTAACTGACAGCTCTGAAGCAATGGTGCCAATTAGTGGTCCCGGCCATCATATTTTGCACGTTGATGTGCTGTTCCGCGAACAGTGGATTTATTGGGCTGAATATAACCGTGGCACCTGGAACGGCATTTTCCGCCGACGCCCGAATGGCACGGAACTGCAGCACATCGTTAAGGACGGTATCGGCAGCAATGGCATACGTGGCCTCACTATCGATTGGGTCGCAGGCAATATGTACTTCACGAATATCTACCCACACGAAAACTATGTAGAAGTCTGTTGGTTAGATGGCAGCAACCGCAAGGTATTGGTTAAGACCACAACGGATGCACCACGCGAACTGGCTGTTAATCCGATCAAACGTCTGCTGTACTGGATCGATTATGGACAGCACCCGCGCATAGGCAAGGCATACTTGGACGGTTCAAATTGGATACCGATGGTAACATCTGGCATCTCTAATCCACGCGATTTAACAGTAGACATGCTGACACACGATGTCTACTGGGTCGACTCAAAACTGGACACCATTCAAAAGATTTCGTATTCTGGTGGTAATCGCAAGATCATCCGCCGCAATTTACCCAATCCAATGGGTATAGCCATATTTCTAAGCGACGTCTACTGGGTAGATCGAAATTTGATGACCGTTTTTAAGGCCTCCAAGTTGTCGGGCAACGAATCGACGCCCGTACGCGTGCGCACCAATCTACAAAAACTACGCGACATTGCCATCTACAATATCAATAATCAGCCGCAGGATGACGGTAATCCTTGTGCGCGCCTAGGCAATGGCGGCTGCGATCAGCTCTGCTTCAGTTTCCCACCTGAACAAACAAATCCTGCACGTCTCAATTATCTCTGCGACTGCGCTACCGGAAAGCTGGCTGCGGATGAGCGCAAGTGCGAGGTAGTCAATGAGTACCTTGTATTCGCTACGCGCACTGAAATACGCGCGGTCAACTTGGACCCACATTCCACGCAAGTACCATTCACACCAATGAATAATCTGACCAACGTTGTCGGCCTTGACTTTGACTTTGCGGACAATCACATGCTGTTCACACAAATCCGTCCATGGGCAAAAATTGCCTACACTAAGGCTGACAACCCGAATAGCAACGATGTCAATGTGGTGTTGAGTAGAGGCATTAATCCTGAGGGTATCGCTTATGACTGGACGCAGAAGAAGATTTACTGGACCGATAGCTCGAATAACTCTATTTATGCTATGAACTTAGACGGCACTGATTTGGTAATGATTGCCCGTGTGGAAAGACCTCGTGCCATTGTGCTCGATCCCTGCAACGGCACACTTTATTTCACCGACTGGGGTCGTTTCGGCACATCCGGTAAGATTTTCCGCACCACAATGGCAGGTTCATTGAAGCGTGCTATTGTTGACAAAGAACTCTCACAACCCAGCGGCCTAGCGGTCGATTATGATGAGCGCAAACTATATTGGACAGATGCCGTGCGTGAAAAGATCGAACGTTCTGACTTGGATGGCAAGAATCGTGAGCTGCTGGTAGATGCCACAATATATCCCTTCGCTATAACAGTTTTCCGCAACTACATCTACTGGACCGATTTGCAGCTACGTGGCGTATATCGCGCCGAAAAGCACACTGGCGCCAATGTCGTGGAGATGGTAAAGCGTTTGGAGGACTCACCACGTGACATACGCGTCTACAGCGCTGACCGGCAAAAATGTACTGTAAATCCATGTCTGATCAAGAACGGTGGGTGCGCGCAAAGCTGTCATCCGGCGCCGAACGGCAAGGCGGAATGCAAGTGCGATGACAACTCGAAGGTGGTCAATGAGGGACGCATGTGCGCGCCACGCAACAATACATGCGAGGCAAGCAAATTCTATTGCCAGAACGGCAAGTGTATTTCACGTATGTGGTCATGCGATGGCGACGACGACTGCGGCGATAACTCAGACGAAGATCCAAACTACTGCGCTTTCCATTCATGCTCGCCCACAGAGTTCCGTTGCAACAATGGACGTTGCATATTCAAGTCATGGAAATGTGATCATGAAAATGACTGCAAAGACGGCTCTGATGAGATCGATTGCACTTATCCACCGTGCGTGGATGGCGAATTCACATGTGGCAATGGACGTTGCATACCCATGGCACAAGTATGCAATGGCGTCAATGACTGCAAAGATAATACAACTTCGGATGAAACGCACGAGCGCTGTCCGCAGAACACGACATGTCCACCGAACCATCTCAAATGTGAAAAGACCAACATCTGCGTGGAACCCTACTGGCTGTGCGATGGTGACAACGACTGCGGCGATAACTCTGATGAGGACCCACTACATTGCGGACAACGCACATGCCCAACGAACAGTTTCCGTTGCCCGAACCACCGCTGTATACCGGCGACTTGGTATTGCGATGGTGACGATGATTGCGGCGATGGTGCTGATGAACCGCCAGAGTACTGCAAGTCAGAAGGACGCACCTGCTTCGGTGATCTATTCACATGCGATAATGGCAACTGTATACCTAGAATTTATATTTGCGACGGTGATAATGATTGTCTGGACAACAGTGATGAGGATAGCAGGCATCAGTGCAGTAAGTTTTAAAAGTTTTTTGTGATATATAACGGAAGTTTACGTATTTTAATTTGCTTTTATCCAATTTCTAGACGACCGCAAATGTGATGAGGAGACGGAATTCACTTGCTTGGAAAATAAGGCTTGGGGTCGTGCACAATGCATACCGAAGAAATGGATATGTGACGGGGATCCGGACTGTGTGGATGGCGCTGACGAAAACACAACATTGCATAACTGCGCCACTCAACAACCCTGCGGCGAAGACATGTTCACTTGCGACAATGGCCGGTGCATCAATAAGGTAAACGGCCGTTTAGTATTTCACTTGATTAGGCATTTGTAAACGCGTTCCACTTTCCTTTCCGTAGGGCTGGACTTGCGATCATGACAACGATTGCGGTGACGGCTCTGATGAGGGTAAGTTCTGCAGCTCTAAATACAAAAGTTGCTCGGATCAGGAGTTCACCTGTCAGAACTTCAAGTGCATACGCAATCAATACCGTTGCGATGGCGAGGATGATTGTGGTGATCACTCCGATGAAGTGGGCTGTAAGAAGGATAACACAACATGTCCGAATGGTCAATTTACCTGCACGAATGGCCAATGTATTGACTATCATTTGGTGTGCAACAAAGTCCCCGACTGTGCCGATGAGTCAGACGAGCCAGCGCATTGTAATGTAGACGAATGTGCAAAGGTTGAGATACATCAGTGCGGACATAAGTGCGTAGATACGTTGACGAGCTACTACTGCGACTGCAATCAAGGCTACAAGTGAGTATACCCCTAAATTAAGCGTCAAGTAACTAAACTTATAATTAATTTCACCGCTTTTTACAGACTCATGCCCGACGGCAAGGCCTGCGCTGATATCGACGAGTGTCTTGAGCTCCCAGGCGCCTGCTCGCAACATTGTTCCAATACACCAGGCGGCTACTATTGCAAGTGCGACGAACGCTATTATGAACGCCAAACGGACGAACACACTTGCAAGCGAAAGGACAACATCAAACCTTGGCTGGTGTTCACGAACAAATACTACGTGCGCAACATGTCACTGGATGGCAGCCAATACAATCTAATGCACCAAGATCTAATGAATGTAGTGGCGCTGGACTTTGACATTCAAGAGCAGTATATGTACTTCTGTGATGTCACCGCCAAAACTATCTTCCGCGCCAAATACGCCAACGACGATGAGAAACCCGAACGTGAAGCCATCATACGCCACGACTCACATGGCTTGGAAGGCATCGCAGTCGATTGGGTGGGCCGCAAACTCTATTGGCTCGATAGACACTCGAAGAATTTGGATGTTTCGGAGCTGGATGGCACAAAACGCAAGACACTTCGCAGTGGCGTCATCGATCCACGTGCGCTGGTCGTTCATCCAGGCATTGGTTACTTGTATTTCACGTCGTGGCATCTGCAAGCCTACATCGCCAAAATGGGCATGGATGGCTCGAACTTTACGCGCATTCTGACCTGGGACGATGATATTGCCTGGCCAAATGCTCTTACCATTGACTACTTTACGGATCGCATTTATTGGGCGGATGCCCATTTGGATTATATAGCCTATACCGATTTGGAAGGTCGTCACCGCCATATAGTACTCTCTGGCGTTAAGGTGCCACACATTTTTGCGCTATCACTCTTCGACGACTATCTCTACTGGACCGATTGGAATTTGAAGGGCATAATGCGCGCCAACAAATTCACTGGTCAAAATTATACTGTACTCCGCAATACTACCCACCGTCCATACGACATACATATCAACCATCCGCTTAGACAACTACCCTACACGAACCCCTGTGGCAAAGATAATGGCGGGTGCTCACATTTATGCCTGATCGCGCCACCGCCCGAATCTACCTATTTCAATATAGAAGGCTACATCGAGGAAGGCGCGCCGAGCTACAAGTGCGCTTGTCCCAACCAATTCTATCTGGCGCGCGATAGTAAGACCTGCATAGCCAACTGCACCGCCGGCCAGCACCGTTGTGGTGGCAACGACGAAAAATGCATACCCTGGTTCTGGAAGTGTGATGGTGAAAAGGATTGCAAGGATGGTTCCGATGAGCCTTCAACTTGCCCGACGCGTCACTGCCGCGCTGGCACATTCCAGTGCAAGAACACAAACTGCACACCTTCCGCGACCATTTGTGATGGCACCGATGATTGCGGCGATGGCAGCGATGAACAAAATTGCGATCTTCCCTGCCCCGAATCCGACTTCAAATGCAAATCCAGCGGACGCTGTATACTCGATAGTTGGCGTTGTGATGGCGATGCCGACTGTAAGGATGGCAGTGATGAAGATCCGGCTGTGTGTCGTAAGTACTAGCCAAGTTTAATTTTGACTATATATTTAATTTTTTTCACTCCTCAGATAAGCGCGCCTGCGATCCGGAAACGGAATTCAGCTGCAAGAATGGCCGCTGCATACCGAAACTGTGGATGTGCGACTTCGACAATGATTGCGGCGATGATTCCGACGAGCCAGCCTACATGTGCCGCCAACGCAACTGCACCACTGGCTGGCAACGCTGCCCCGGTCAATCGAACTACCGCTGCATACCGAAGTGGCTCTTCTGTGATGGCAAAGACGACTGTCGCGACAATAGCGATGAGTTGCCAGAGAATTGCCCGAAATGCTCAACGGAAACGGACTTCAAGTGCGCCAATAATCGCTGCATACCAAAGTAGGTTAATAGCATAGCCTTCAGAGTGTTAATTTTCTAATATTTTGTCCTTCTCT